TTCAGAAGCTGACTAGGAGACCAGTGAGGCTCGATGACCTGCCCAAAAAAGGGAGCTGAAAGTGCAAGCCGGGCATCTGTCTGTGGCCGCTAGGAATGACAGGGGGCAGAACTGTGTGTGTGTGTGTGTGTGTGTGTGTGTGTAGATGGGCCCACCTCTGAGCCCGGCTGGGGGTACTCGCCGGGCAGGTCAAAGTCAGACAGGGAGGTGCTGGGGCCATGAGACCATCAGCAGAAATGGGGCCTCTGGAGGCACCTGGGAGAGGAAGGGAGCTCTCTGCACAAGGGTACGTGCCTGCCTGGGGCCGTGCTCCTGCAGTCCCTCTGTCCCCCTCTTTCTTGCCTGCAGGGAGGGTGGCTGGCATTTCTATACCAAAAGGCTGCGGGCGAGAGGACCCTTGCACTAAATGTCATGGGCAGAAGCTTTCATCAGATGTGTTTCCTGTCGTCTGCACCCCTGCCATGCCCCACTTTTGGGGGCTCCTCCATGGAAGCCCACAGGCAGCAGGTCCTACCTGCTACCCCTCCCCATACGCACTCTGCAAGTTTGGGCTCTTCTGGACATTGAGCTAAAGGATCCTTGTAAGAAGGGACCTTTACATCATGTCGTGTGATTTTCTCGGGCACTCAGTCCTGCTCCCGCTTGCTGGGGTGCGGGCAGGAGGCACATATCTGTCATGGGCAGGGCTGCCAAGAACCCCTCCTCCCAGGACTGGTGACCATATACTCCATTGTCCAGAGTTTCATCTCTGAGAGTGAAAGGGGACACTGCTAGTAGTCAACATGTATAACCCTGTGGGTCAACATGCACAACCAGGACTGTCCTGGGCCAACTGGGATGTGCAGTCGCTCTACACGGAGCAGGCAGCACAGCTGGGCATCGGCATGGACGTCCAGGTGGGTGGGCGCCCTCTCACGGGAGTGAGTGGTATTTCTCATGTCCTTATGTAGCTCCCCAGGTGTCCTGGAAAGGCAGGTGCTGCCCTTTTTGGGCTTGCTGCCCGAAGTCACATGGTCAGACATGTGATGTCTCAAGTTCATGGAGCTGACCCTCTGACTGCCTGCCACATGCCCTACAGTCGCTCCCTACAGGGAAAGGGGGCAGCTTGCAGTGTGGGGGATGACCCCTAGCCCTTCTTTGGGCCCCTCAAGACTTTAGATGCCTGGTGTATGTGCCCCAATCTCTCCTGGCCATTGACCTGGGCCCTCAGAGTCCCCATGGTTCAGGACACCCCTGCAGTACCTCTCTCTGCTGCTGCTCTGGCCTGAACCACAGCATTCCAGGTTTATAGATGGCAGTCAACCATCTCCTGTGCCAAGGTCCCTCTGGGACCCCAGGTTCCCTTCCTAAGGCCCTCAGTGCTCTCTGGGCTGCTGGGGCCACTCACTGGCTATGTCACTACTGCAGCTGTGCCTGCAGCTTCCACTTGGTCTTGGGTCTGGAGGTGTGGGTGAGGAGCATCCCGGGTCTGTTTCACAACCCCTGGGTTATGGCCCTACTAAATGCCTTTGTTCCCATGGCCTGTAGCCCTTGCTGGCAACCACTGATCTTTCTTAACCCCTTCATCTCTGCTGCTCCTCATACCCGGTGTAGGGACCTGAGCCTGGGAGCTGAAAGGGGTCACTCCTGGCTTCCTGCTTCTCTGCCTCCTCCCGATGTCTTCAAAGTGGGAGCTCCCCCAGGCCCTGTCCCCAGACTCTCCCTTTTCTTTGCTCCCCCCATCCTCTTTCTGGGAGGCTGTACCCCACACTCCGGCTTCTGCAACCGCTTCCATCCTTGCCCCCTTTACCTCAGTTCCCAATGCCCTCTGCCCCTACCACAAACTGGCACCTCCTGCCAAGATGCTACCTTGGATGCCATATCCCCGCCCCCACCCAAAGCTGCTGCTCAGAATGCTCCCTGTTCCTTCAATGGTGCCTACTTGCCCCCAGGCCTGGGCCCAGTGCTGGGAAGTGTCAGATCCTCCTGGCCCTGTCCCTCCTGCATAGCCCTCAGGCCACCCTTTTCCCTAACTCAGGCTCTGTCCTGTTCTCTCTGTCGACCTGCCCTCTGAACCGCATCATGGCAATTGGAATATTCTGTGTCCTTGCTTGGCCTCTGTCCTGTTTGTTTGCTATTGCCAGAATCCACCCAGTTCAGCCCCACCAGCAGCCGTGGGCTCTGCTCTGGGACTCAGTGAGGTGCCCAGGGAGGCCGGGCACAGCACGGACCAGTAGGAAGGAGGGGACAGGGATACCTGCCTCCAACCCCCTGGGTTCCCCACGCCACGTGTGAGGAGCAGCAGAGAAAGAGCAGTGTGTACCAACCGGGGGCAAAGGCCATGGAAATTTAGGAATGATTTCCTGGAAGAGGGGTCACATGATCTAGACCTCAGAAAACAGTAGCCTTTTGCAGTGTTGATTGTAACAGTGAGAAATTAGAAACACAGAACACTCAGCAGGACACTGCATCAACACACTGTGGAACGCTCTCAAACAACACCATACTGCTGCTAAAATGAGCCAGCATGGATATGGATAAAGCTCAACAACACAACTTTGGGTGTAAAAGGCAAATTGAAGATTGATACACAAGGCATGGTGTGATTTACATATATCCTAAAGACACACAAAACAGTATAGTGTTATTACAGATACAGATGTTTGTGGGAAGAATATAAATGTGTGGGAGTGATAAATACCAGATTTACCTTTCCCGAGGGAGGGAGCAAAACAGGACAGGGAAAAGGAGCTTAGTTGAGGCTGTGTGCTGTTTCTTTGAAAAGAGAGAAAAAGGGATCTGAGGCAGATATGGCAAAATGTGAACATCTGTTCAATATGGGTGATTACAGGTACATGGGCACTTGCTATATTATTTTCTTCTTATCTATGCATTATTCTGTAACTGAAAATTTTAAAAGAAGTTAAAAGGCCATAAAGGGAGGTGGCATTCTACACGCAGGTTGTTTATTTCCTGCACGGGGCTGGTGTGGACCAAGGGGCAGGGGAAGGGGAGGGCACCTGGGATGACTGGGCACAAGCCGGGCAAGGCCAGAGCAGGAGTTGGTTGGCAGGGAAAGGAGCCTGGGTATTGGGCTTGGGGGGATTCTAAATACTGGGTGGCGGTGGGTTTCTAAAGGGGGCCATTTACCTCCTCCTACCCCCCCTAACCCCCCCACCCCTACAACAGCCTCTGGATGGGTGATTGTCAAGTTGGTGATTTATTCATTTCTTATCTTGTATTGAGCATTTACTAGAAAAGCAACAGCTCACATGGCACTCACCATGGGCCACAGTTCTAGTCACACAAATCTCACTGAAATCTTATAACTCCCCTTTAGGTCGTCATTATAACCGTCACCACTGTCCCTATTTTATAGATGAGGAAACAGAGGCACAGACAAGTTCTGGGGTTTACCGGAAGTTACACAGCTAGTAAGCACTGGAGCTGGGATTTGAATCCAGGCCATCTGGTGCCAGAGCCTGTGGTCCATGCTGCTGAGGTCTATTGCTCTTCATGTGTCAGGCAGTGTGCTGGGTGCTGCGGATTCAGTGATGACCGAGCAAGCACAGCCCCGCTCTTGCAGAGCGCTTCTGGGCCAGCGGGAGAAGTCAGACACCAAACCAAGCAACGCACGGATATGATTGCGGAAGAGGGGACATTTATGCCGAGATCTAAAAGGTCGGAAGTTAGCCGGGAGGGGTTGGGGTGGGCAGGGCAGACAGAGGGAAGAGCGAATGCAAGACCATGAGAGGTACGGGCAAAGAGGAAGACCACGGGTCCGTGTTTGTCCCTGCTGTCCTGGTTCATGCCTGCGGTTCAAGCATAAATATTCCTAGTGTTTCATTTTGGTTTGGACAACAATAAATTTGAAGGTCACCCTCTCATAGGCCATGGTGGAGAGTTTGGATTTTTTTCCCAGGGCAGTGGGGAAAGCATTGAGGGGCTTTTGTAGATAGTGATGCTCTAATTTATAATTTATAAAGGTCACTCTGGCTGTGGTGTGGAGAGGGCCTGGAGCAGGACCCTTTCCTGACTCAGCTGCAGAGTGTGGAAGCAGCAGGACTGGGAAAGGCAGGGGAGGCCCCAGCTTGGGCCTGCTGAGGTTGCAGCCATGGGTGAAATGACTCAGGACAAATTTGTCCCCAGAAATGCCGTTCTTCTCTTCCCTGTGCTGACCCAGCCCCAAGGCTTCCAGGGAGGCCCTCTGGTGTGGGAGGAAGCCCCCGAGAACAGCTGCCCACCTCCCGGGACTGCAGGGACCCTTGTGGAGGACATAGGAGAGTTTTCCGGAAGGGCTGAAGGACTCAGTAAATTTAAGAAATGGCAATAGAACAACATTAACCTTCCATTTGATAATTTGCCCCTTTCCCTTCCTTCTTACACACACACAGCCCCTCCCCCAATTCCAAGAGGAGACTGCAGAAATTAGAAGCCCAGGGCATTCAGTTACCAGCTGGGGAGGGTCTCCCAGTGGGGCCAGCTTCCAAGCTGAAGGAGTGCTGGGGAAGGCGGGGGGCTTCTGGTGCCTGCTGGCAGCACATGGTGGCTGGCCAGGGCTTACTGCTCATGAATGAATCCAGGTCCACCCTCTCTGTGAGCCCACTTCTGGGAGTTGACGGATATCTGGGGGCATGTGTGTGTTCATATGTACATGAGCACATACACTATTGACCCCATGCTATGGGCAGATGGCTGCACAGGTTTCCACGACCCCTTTGTATGTAGCGGGGCCCAGAGTGTAAAACAAGCTCAGGCTTGTAGTGGCAATGAAGAAGGGGGAAGGACAGAAAAGTCAGAAGCCTGTAAAACAAATCCTGTAAGCACGAAGAGCCTCTCCTTTGTCCCCCACAAAGCGGAGCCACGCGTCTAAGAGACCAGGGAGGTTGCAAAGTCCACCTTCCATGTTCAGGTGGAGAGCCACTCTCCACCTGGGAGGCTCTCCAAGCCTGGGTGCCGAGAAGGCACAGCCACAGGCTCAGGGAAGAAGGGAAGGGGCTGGTGGGAGAGGCGTCACTCACCAAGTGGCAGGACGAAGAAGAACGGGAACCAGCAGAGCACGAAGACTCCCACGACGATGGCCAGCGTCTTGGCCGCCTTCTTCTCGCGGGAGAACTTGAGCAGGCGTACCGACAGCGAGCTGCGAAAGGTGTGGCCCTTGGCGCTGCGCATCCCCTGGCGCGCCCCGTCTGTACCTGAGGTGGCGCCGCGACAGTGGATGCGCAGCACCACGTCGGAGGCCTTGCCCCGCTCCCGCTTGACGCCTGCCTCGAGGCTACGCGTGGTGCTGCGCGCTACCACGTACACGCGGCAGTACATGACTATGATGACGGCCATGGGCAGGTAGAAGGAGCACACGGAGGAGAAGACGGCGTAGCCCACCTCCTCGGTGATGCTGCAGAAGCGCTCATCAGGGGGCACCGGCTCTTTCCAGCCCAGCAGCGGCCCCACGGACACCACGAGGGCTACGGCCCAGAGCATCGCCAGGATGGCGGCCGCCTTGCGCTCGGTCATGATCGCGGGGTACTTGAGGGAATGGCGCACGCCCACGTACCGGTCCACTGAGATGGTGCAGAGGCTGAGGATGGAGGCGGTGCAGCACAGCACGTCCACGGCGGCCCACACGTCGCAGAAGGCCCGGCCGAAGGCCCAGAAGCCCAGAACCTCCATTGTGGCCGAGAAGGGCAGCACCGTGGTGCTCAACAGCAGGTCGGCCACGGCCAGGTTCACAATGAAGTAGTTGGTGACTGTCTGCAGGTGGCGGTTGCAGGCCACCGAGAGGATGACAAGCAGGTTGCCCACCACAGCCAGGAGGATGAAGGCGGCCAGGAAGACGCCCACGCCCACGCCCTGCGCGCTCACCACCAGACCCCCGACGGCCGCCGTGCCGTTCACCTCGCCGCCCGCGCCCGCGGCCCCCGGCTCTCCGGCGGAGCTTCGGTTGTCCTCGCCACTGCCCGCGCCTACCACGCCGCCGCCGCCCGCAGCCCCCGGCACGCTGCCCACCGCCGGGCCCTCCGAAGCGGCCGGGCCTCCCGCACCGCCCCCACCACCGCCCGCACTTGGACCCGCGGTGCTGCTGTCCGGGCGGGGTCCCTCGAAACTGACGCTCAGTAGATCGCGGAAAGTCATCTCAACGCGCGGCCGTCGGGGGCCGGGCCCGGACGCAGGACAAGTGACTGTCAGGGAGGGGGGCACCGGGCATAGCCGCAGGGCTCTGGTCCAGCCCCGTGCGCCGGTACCGTCGGAGTCCTGCCCAAGTTCCCTTGACGAGGAGCGCGGCTGGTCGCGAGCGGAGCGAAGCGGCAGGGGGAGCGGCCGGGGCTCTCCGAGGCCGGCGTGGAGTCGGATGGAAGAGCCGGGTCGCGGGCGCGCCTCGCTCTCTGAGTGTGCCTAGGCGAGCGGGGAAGTGGCGGCTCCCCGCCCGGGCGGTGCAGGCGGCGGCCACTGCGGCGCTCGCGACTGGGCGCTGGGGGCGGGACGGAGGAGGGGCAGCGCCGGGAAGGAGAGGGGGCGGCCTGTGCGGGGGGAAGGTGACGCCACACTCACCAGGGGCAGGGGTTTTGCGCTCCTGGGAAACGGGCTTTCGGAGTCCGAAGGATGTGGGGTGCTGCCGCGCACTCCAGCTTCGCGGCAGCTACTCCAGCCTCGCCGCGGGTGCCCACGCCCGCCCTTTCTCCTTCTGGTCCGCTCCCGGATGCCTTCCCGCGCCTCTCCCCGGCCCCCGCTCTCTCCCCTCAGCTGTGTCCTCCTTCCTCCCGCCCTTTCCTCAGCCTCTCGGTCACTTGCTGGTGGTGCCCTTGGGTGCGCACAGTATAGAAGGCGCGATTCCCGGGTCCCCGGGCTCCCGGCTCCGGCCGCCAGAGAGCAGCAAGCGCCCGGGATCTGCGGACTGCGGACAGGACCGCGCAATGGCGCTGCGAGTCGCCTCCTGGGACTGCCTGGATGGATCTGTCGCACCTCCTTCCTCTTCTCAGGCCACTGGCCAGGGGAGGGTCTTAATCACCTCTGTCCAGTGCGGTGGCGAGGAGAAAGCCCCGGATGGGGTCAAATGCCTGTCCTGGCTTGGGATGGCGGAGGAACAAGAGACTATATGGTGACAGACCTTGGAGCTTGATCACGATACATCGGTTTGCATATACTAACTTCTGCACTGTTACTTGACTCCATTATCAGTTGTTGGAATAAAACTTTTTTGCCACACTAAATAAGTGGCCTCCTTCTGGGGAGGGAGGGTTTAAGAACTGGAGGATGGGAAAGGGCACTTGGGGGGATGATTAAGGGGGAAGGGTGCAGACAGCCTGGCTCCAAATCTAGGCTCCGCCCCATATTCGCCGTTTGACTTCTTTGTGCCTCAGTTCCTCATTTGTAAATTGAGGACGAGAGTAGTGTCTACTTAATGGCATCAGGGTTAAATGAGTTAATATTTGGGAAGTCTCCAGAGCAGTGTCTGTGTTTGTTAGCGGAATGGAGTTGGTAAGGGCAAGGTTTGAACAGGGAGGACAGAGGGCAGAAGGGGTGTGGAGCGGGTATGAACGGCGGACCCAGGTGCAGGGGAGGGTTTGAGGGGCCTCTTGCTGACTTGGTAGGACTGGGTAGGGAGAGATGCAAAGAAAATACTAGCCAGGCTGCTGTCATGTGGGCACCATGCTGAACGCTCTAGGCGGCAGGGGAAGGAGGAATTGCAGGGAGGATAGCACCGCTGAATATATGCAGGATGAGGAAGGCTTGTGCCATGCCAGGGAGACTAGAGCCTGTTTGGAGAGGTGTCAAGGAGGAAGTGGAGAACTCACAACCTTGGTACCCACTGGCTGTGGATGATACAGGCAAGATGCCTGCGAGTCCTAGATGACAAAGTGCTTTGGAGAAAAAGCACAAAATGTTAAGAGATGGGTAACCCCCTGGTTCCCATACCCTCTTCCCCAGCCCAGGAAGCCAAAGCTGTTATAATCATAGTTTAGAAAAAGCTCTTCCGAGGCCCTCCCCAAGTTTCCCCATTACATCTTTTATCTTTACAGGGGTCTTTGATAATTTACCAGAGGTGAAATAAAAGCAAGATGAACCCCGGAGACCTGCTGGCCCTTGGGTTCTTTGTGATCCAGTGCCATGGCTTCTACTTGAGACGAAAAACTAAACCCCTGTGTTTATCTCCTCTCCCTCCTGAGACCCCTTTAGGGTGGGAATAAAGAAAAAGGAAAGGTTCATCCTACAACTGAGTTAGCCCCTAGGCTGATAAACCTGAGTTCCAGCCCCAAGAGAGGAGGCTTGAAGGGACACTAAGGGGGCCCTTGAAGCACCTGAGGGGGTCTGGACCTGCTCCTCTCTGGTGAAGATGGTGCAGCTGGTTGTCACTTTCAGAGTCGGAATACTGCATGAAAAAGAACGCTGGAGACTGCTTTCCTGACAGACAGCCCATCTGTGGGGATGAGCCGGTCAACCCCCAGTTCCCTTCCGTGCTACCAAGCCCGGGGAACTTTTATTATTCATTCAAGTTAACGAAGCACCAGCTTATACCAGGAACTGCTCCTGGCACTGGGGATATGACGTTGAATAAAGCAAAGTCCCTGCCACCCCCAGGCCCACATTCAAGTGGCAGGGAGTGCTACCAAGAAGAGTTAGGAAGGGAGCTTTTCCATCGCTCTGGACAAAAGCTTTCTCTGCATTTACTATCTGGGTCCTAGAGATTATCTTCAATTAAATAATCAAAGAAAATCCAAATCCCATCTCTCCCAGTAACTCCCTATCTCTGAATAGCAGTGGAGCCTGAAAGGGTACAAGATCATGCATGTCACTGGCAAACACAGCTAATGTTGCCACTTTCTGGGGTCAGTCCTTATGAAGCACATGGACTTCCATTCTCTTTTCAGTTGCAAAGGGATCTGTAGCCCTAGTCTGGCCTTTAAGCTTACTGTGGTGACCCTACCCCGGCTACAACCTGACCTACAACCAAAGCCTTGCTGATCCCCCTAATTGTGTCTTTTACTCCCGATTCATACTGTACTCAGCAGGAGCACTGGAGAAGGGGCTGAGTGTCCAGTGCTACCCTCTCCCACCATCAGGACAGCAGAGCAGTGCTCAGGACTGGCCACGTCTCAGGGAAGGACCTTGTTTCTGCAGGAAGGGGATTCTTTGTAGTCCCCCCACCCCAGCCTCAATGCAGGGCACTTGAGGTCAACTTATGATTTGATTATTTATGCTAATCTTTGCCTAAAATTAATGCAGTTAGAAGTTATTGACTACATTTCGCATCATAGTAGAAACAGTAGAGGCTGGGGATAGGCGTCAATGGAATGATATTCTTACTCAGAGCCTAGCAAGCAGCCCACTGCTCGGGGGACCCTTGGGTGACTGTTTGCTTTGCAACTGTTTGCTTCTGCTCCTAAGAGATATTCTTTTTTTTTTTTTTTTTTTTTTTCTTCAGGGGAGGAAATAAGCTGGGAAGCAGGACATTGAACAAATCTGGAAGATCCACTAGGATGGAAAAACTCTCAGAGTGGGACAGAGATTAGTTACAGTAAGTTAAAAGCTATACTATCCTCCCCCTTCCAATTTCTGTGGTTTAGACCAATGAAACTTTGTTTCTCATTTACTCAACATCCAATGTGAATGTACGTGGTTGGGCAGCTTTCATGGACGGAGCTCCATGGTAAGGACAACTTAGGGATCTAAACTCCTTCTAATGTGTGACTTCACTGTGCCCTAGAGCCTAGGAATTCTCCAGGGCCCTGGAATCCTCCTCCAGTTTGTCTACATTCAAAGGCCTGAAGAACAAAGGCGGAGTGTGGAAGATTACATAAACATTTCAGGAGGCAAGCACAATACCTCTGTCTAAGTCCTGCCCCCACTTAGATGCAAGGGGGAAACGTGGTTCAGCCAAGTGTCCAAGAAAAAAGGGGTGTAGATTAGATGGCCATCCAGCCTGTGCATGCTGCAGGAGAGCAAAGGTCCCAGGGAGACTCGACCTGGGCATTAGTTAGGCAATGCCTGATGGATGGATTGTGAAAAGACCATACAGATTGACCGCTATGAACTTCCAGCTAACATTCTATCTGGGCCCAGCAGATACCTTCCAGATCAGGCTCAACATGCGTATTTCCAGCTGGTAACAATGGCAACTCCAACTCACTCAGCTCTGCGAATGCAAAAGGAGAATTAAGGTGGGCAGCAGAGACTCAACTAGCCTTGCTTTAATCTTCATGGAGAGTAAACAATCCCTCTGTAGTAGAATCCACCCGGTGCCAATGGGAATCGCTTACCTTCTTCCATTAGTGCCTGAAATTCCACCCTTATAATCGGGGTCTTTTAATTCCGAGAACCAGTGTTTTTCATTACATCACAAATTCCTTTACCTCCTAGTAGAGGTGACATACTAGGTTGCTATCTCCTCCAGCCCCGAGATCTGATTATCATGACGTAGGGAACTGGGACGAGTGGGGAAGATGTTCCATAGGGATATTCTGTGGTAATGAAAATAAAGATAAGAAAGTTCTAGGGATAAACTTTGCTAACCTGACAAATTCTCTGACCCCCAAAAGGAGCAGCAAATGCTAATGAGGGAGATTTCCTAACACAGAATTAAAATAAGTCAGTCAACTCAGAGGAAGTGGCTTATAATCAACTTGCGAGGCCAGGCAGGGTTGCATGACTCCAATCCCAATTAGGGAGGCTGAGACAGCTCCTGCTGGGATGTCCGCCTTTCAGCTCACAAATGAGATGGCCCAAAGCCATTTTCCATTTCCTTTCTCCTGAGCCAAGATTCAATCTCTGGAGAAGACAGTGAAGAAAGGAGGATTTACTTTGAATGATTCCCTAGAGGAATGGAAAGATGGAGGAAGCAAAAAAATTCATGTCCCAGGAAAAACATTAGGTGGTGAGGCTGGCCTCCCAGACTTTAGTGTTCTTCATGCCTTATCCTTGAGATCCTACCAGTTCTTCTTTTCTCTCCTCTGTGAGTTCATTACGTAGTCTGCAGGAATCCCACTTACCTCCTTATTTGGGTCCCCTTGTCTTTGATTTATTCCTCTGTAGAGTAGTATTTTGTAATTCTGTCGTTTACCTGGGGTACCTGGAGATAGTGACCACTTCGGGTTTTTCAGTGACTATGGCATTTTGTTTTTTGGGCTCAGGGGCTGGTGAAGTGCTGGCCTCTTGAAGTTGCTCAGTGAATGTTTCTTACTTTATGAAGATCTTAGCAACTTTAGGATGAAAGTATGAATCAATAAAAGATATGAATGAATGAATGAAAGCATGAAGGACTGTGTACCTCTCAGTGTCACTGAAGGTTAGAATCTCTATCTCTGTCCCAGAGCATCAGACTTTTGCAGGAGATGACTGGGGATGGCTTTTACACATTCTAGCAAACCTGGTCTGTCTAGGGTAGAAGTGACTA